GGGTGAACTATTTATGTAAATCCTATTTTTATCTCTATTGTGACAAGAAATATGAATTGCTCTTGATATATTTATATGAAAATATTTTAATCTCAAGCCTACAATAATTTTTGCTGTAGACCATGAGACCCTTTGCAAACAGTGAAATTATGTCTGATTTTTATCACAGAGGGTAAAAGTAAACCATTGTCTTCTGATGTTCTGTTGAGCTGCCTCTACTGTACACAGAATGCCCTACTTACTGAACATGGGATTGTGTTTTAATTATTCAATCGAATGAGGATTTTGTTTCCTGAAAATAATTTACTAGGTATTGGTGCAATTTACAGGTATGAGTAAACACTCACTAAGAATAAGTGTTGATGTTGCAAAGTCAATGCATGAGATTGTTAGATTCAGTGGGGCTTTCCATATTGCTTCCTGTGTGCCTCATCTGAGCATTAAGACAGGAAATTATAACTTTCCATGATTTGCTGAAAACCTTGCACACCCCAAACAACTGCTGTCCCCAAGATTATGTGAAATAACAAAATAACCATTCTCTATAAATACTTTCATTAATATTTGCTGTTTTCTTGTAAAGTGCTTTTAAGCTTTGCATTTAAAGAATGTAGTAGTATCAATGTAAAGATAAAGGAGAAGCTGCATAAAGGAGAAGCCGGTGAAACAACAGTATGTAAAATGTTTGCATTTCTAGCTTGTTCCTTAAACAAAGAGTGCAACACGCAGGTTGTCAACATTAGCTGCTACTAACCCAACAGATCAATGACTGGGTTCACATTCAAATATGGAGAAACCACAGAACACTGTGAATTCAGAATCAAGATAAGTCAAACTAGAAAAGAACTGGCTCCCATGGTAAACGTGGTGTTTTCTCTAACTCCCTTACAAGTCAATAGTCACTGTGTATGCTGATAGGACCTGCTCATGTTTTTCTTCCCACTGAGCCTCAGGCAATTTGAATACATCATAGTTCATCTTTTTTGGATACCTTTAAATCATTGTTCTTAATGTAACTTTTCTAGTGAAGTTTGTGATTTAACGCTTAGCCATTATTTAAGCCAGTATCTTTGACTTCTACATTATAGAATAGAAATTGAAGTCTTGAAATTTGCGTCTCTGACTTTTGTACATTGTGACCAGTCATTTGTGAACCTTGACATCTTACCATCCTATTACTTAGAGCAGATGTTTCTGTAAACCCTCTGAAAGATGTTACACAATGTATTTTGGTATTTTTACTATGTCTTCTTTAGAGTGTATGAACGTATTTGTCAGGATCAGATGAATTATGTAACAAAGAAACCTCAAAGCTGTTATGAAGGAAAGTTCATAATTACTTTTGTAAAAGAAATGGAGATGCACTTGAAATATAATTTTACTGTTTCATATGTATTTTAAAAAGAAATAAAGTGATTATAAATAATTTATGTTACTAAAAAAATTTCTTCTTCCTGATTTAATTTTGCAAGATAAGTGTGAAGCTTTTCTTGATCTTGAATTAAGCATAGTTGCCAGTTGCCTTTAATACTCACTAAAGTGAGGACAGAAAAGCACAGCACTCTTCTGTACCATCATTAAGTGACTCTGTAACAAGGCACATTTTACTCAGAGAAGAATATAACAGGTTGACTGTAGCTGGGACCTAACAGCTGGAACTCTGTGAAAAGTAAAACAATTTGAACTTTGACCCTACTCTAACAGACACAAAAGAAATTAATTCCATGTGTATACCCTCTGCCCTGCTCCCCCAGCCCCACCAACTGATTCCAAGCCGACCCCACAGTATATTTCCCTTTGCAATGGTTTTGGAAAGCCAGCTTCATCCCCTTATCACTGCCTGTCTATTCTCCTTACCTCCAGCCACTTCCTCAAAAACCCAATTCTTGTTTGCTTACCTAGATTTTCCATTTTTGAGGTCCATGGATCTCACTGGGAAGGTGAAATAGAATAGACCTGGGAGCGAGTAGAGATGGAAACATGAGGGATCAAGTGGGGGTTACGGGAAGAATTGAATGGAATTGGGGGACTGGGGGGGTAAGTGTGGAAACCTAGTGCACTGGGAACTCCATGGACTCCTCGATCAAGTGGGGGTTACGGGAAGAATTGAATGGAATTGGGGGACTGGGGGGGGGGTAAGTGTGGAAACCTAGTGTAGTGGGAATTCCATGGACTCTACGTGGGTGACCCTAGTGAAGATAATGAAGGATATGAGACCTGAATCGGCCATCTTCTATAACCAGGTAAGGCTTCCAGGGGTGAAACTGGGACACCAACTCAGCCACAAAACCTCAACCAACAATTTGTCCTGCCTGCAGAAGGTACTGGGATAATGGAGGCAGAGAACTTGTGGGAGTGGCCAACCAATGACTGGTTCAACTTGAGGCCCGGGACACAAGCGGGAGCCCATGCCTAACACTACCTAGACAGCCAGGAACCAGAGGCTGGATATCCCAGAGACCTAGGATAGAATCAAACATGACTGGCAAAAAAAAAAGTAAATGAAAAAAAATGACTCCTAATGATATTCTGCTATACGCATAGATCGGTGCCTGACCCAATTCTCATCAGCAGGGAGTCATCTACCAGCTGCTGGGAGCAGATGCAGGGACCCACAGCCAAACACTAGGCAGAGCCAGGAGAACCCTGAAAAAGTTGGGGAGGAAGGATTGTAGGAGCCAGAAGGGTCATGGACACTATGAGAACATGGCCCACAGAATCAACTAAGTGGGGCTCATAGGGGCTTGCAGAGACTGAACACACAATCAGGGAGCCTGTATAGGTCTAACCTAGGTCCTCTGAATATACGTGACAGCTATGTAGCTTAGTCTTCTTGTGGGACTCCTAAGAATGGGAGTAGGGGGTGTCTCTGACTCTTTTTTTTTTTCCGAGACAGGGTTTCTCTGTGGCTTTGGAGGCTGTCCTGGAACTAGCTCTTGTAGACCAGGCTGGTCTTGAACTCACAGAGATCCGCCTGCCTCTGCCTCCCAAGTGTTGGGATTAAAGGCGTGCGCCACCAATGCCCAGCTGTGTCTCTGACTCTTTAGCCTGCTCTTGGAACCATTTTCCTGATTCTGAATTTCCTCATCCAACCTTGATGTGAGGGTAAGTGTCCAGTCTTATTGTAATTCATTTTGCTGTATTCATTGGAAATCCCTACAAGGTCTTCTCTTCTCTGGAGGGAAATGGAGGAGAAGTGGATCTAGGGGAGAAGAGAGTGGGACGGCGGTGACTGGGAGGATGGAGGGAGAGGAAACTACAGTCGGAATGTATTGTATGAAAGAAAAAATCACTTCAGCCATTTTAGATTCCTCCATTGAGACTTCTCTATTTAGTTATGTACCCCATTTTTTAATTGGATTATTTGGTGTTTTGGTGACTAGCTTCTTGAGTTCTTTGTATATTTTGGAGACCAGCCCTCTGTCAGATGTGGGGTTGGTGGATATCTTTTCCCAGTCTGTGGGCTGCCATTTTGTCTTGCTGACTGTGTCCTTTGCCTTACAGAAGCTTCTCGGTTTCAGGAGATGTCCTAGTTACACTGCCATGGGCCCCACCAACAGATCAAGCTACATAACTATCACCCACACTTAGAGGGCCTAGTTCTATCCCATGATGGTTTCTCAGCTGTCAGGCCATAGTCAGTGAGCTCCCACTAGCTTAGGTTAGCTGTCTCTGTGGTTTTCCCAAACATGATTTTGACACACACGCCTGCACCCCCCTGCTCCCACCTTGCTCATATGATCCCTCCTCCCTCTCTTCAACTGAACTCCAAGAGTTCAACCCAGTGCTTTGCTGTGGATCACTGCATCTGCTTCCATCAGTTAATAGATGTAGGTTCTATGATGACAATTAGGGAAGTCACTAATCTAATTATAGGGGAAGACCAGTTCAGGCACCCTCTCCACTACTGCTAGGAGCAGGACAGTCTCTTCTAAAAAAAATTTTTCTTTTAATTAAAAAGAAGGTAGGGATGACAATAAGGGCTGTATCTGTGAGGAGCTGGAAGGAAGAATGGGTGTGAATATGATCAAAATATATTGTATAAAATTCTCAAAGAACTAATAAAATACATTACTTTAAAAAACAACATTCAATTCTCAGGTTTCTACAGACCCTCCTGTTTAAACAGGAAGCTAGCCTTAACAAGGTTGAAACAATCAGGGATATCCTTCATGCTCACATTCCTTTCTCCCTCTCTGACCTTTCCCAGATTGTAAAATCGCTTTATGCTGATACTAAGGCAATAGACTAAGGCATTGTAGCACACCTTACCATCCTACAATCTTTCTTTACAGAATATTTGTTATTTATTCCTCTACCATACTGGAATGGCAAAACCCACATCTAAGCTTTGGCACTGGCTTTTGCAGACTCTCCATATCCAGGATCTCTACTTCACCCATATGGAAAGAAGGTAGCCTCTTCTACCAACCCTAAGTAGGATCACCTTGACTACTCCCTGATCTGGTGCATGTGTCTCACTTCCTTGCCTTTTTCTGATGCAGGGTAGCTCTCAAAACAGGATCAGATTGAAGAAATCACGAAGAAGCTTGCATGACATGCCTTACAGAATTAAAATACTAATCTAGAACCTGCCTCAAAGGCAAGAAGACTGACTGTACTGTGTGCCAGCTTAATCTCCCAGTCCTCCCTAAACATTGGTGGGGCATGGAAGACCTCTAAGAACTAGAAGTTGTTAGGAGGATGTTAGATTGGCATCTTAGTTCTGGTTTCCCCTGCTGCAACAAAACACCATGACCAAAAAGCAAGTTGGGGTGGAAAGGGTTTATTTGGCTTACACTTCAGCATTGTTGTTTATCACTGAAGGAAGTCAGCACAGGCACTCAAACAGGGCAGGATCCTGGAGGCAGGAGCTGATACAGAGGCCATGGCTGCTTACTGGCTTGCTTCCAATGGTTTGCCCAGCCTGTTTTCTTATAGAACCCAGGACCAGCTGCCTAGAGATGGCACCATCCACCATGGGCTGAGACCTTCCCCACTGATCACTAAATGAGAAAATGCTGAATCTCAAGGAGGCATTTCCTTAACTGAGGCTCCTTCCTCTCTGAAGACTCTAGCTTGTGTCAAGTTGACACACAAAAGCAGCCAATACAATTGGTTTTGATGGAGGTGGTATGGAAATAAAAGCAGACCGTCATTTCTAGAAGAAGAATCGTCTTTTAGTCAGAATGACTGAAAAGCCACAGACTCTCTATGGAATGGAGACAATGCACAAGTGGCATCGGTGGTGTTGGGTTTTATAGGATGGAAAAGGGGGAAATGTGAGCATAGAAGAGTCCGTCTGCAGCTCAGTTCCCCTGCAATGTGGAAGTGGTTGATCCCAGCTGGCTTGCTATGTGGGTCTCCTGATTAGAAGTTTTCACAGGTGTTGTCAGTCAACTCAGCTTTCTTTTCCAGAGTTGCTCAGCCCACCTGAGGTTGTCAGATAATTAACCCTTCATTCCAGACCCTGAAAACAAATAAAAAGAAGAGAAATGTTGGGCTCTCTCATTGGCTACTTCCTGGGGATGGATGATGATGGAGGAAGAGGCTCTGTCCCCAAGATCTAAGGGGACAAAGGTTAGATTGATTTATCTTGGTTTTATCTTGGTCAACTATGGTGTATCATGCTATTGCCATAGTGCTCTCATAGGGAAACCCCTAAAATAATCATTAGAGGGCTGAAATGATGTGGTCACATTTTAACCATATTTTAATTTAGTCGTTCTGAGTAAGTCTATAACCTGGTGTATTAAGTTTCTCATGTTTGCTACTCCCTCCCACCAGTAACTCTTACTGTACTTTTTTAGGCCTACTTTTCAGTTTTTCAGGTGACATCCCAGTGATCTTTGAGTTATACACTCCATCACTTGCCTCTGCTCTTCTGATCAGGTCACAAAGAGATTGAACTGTTCCTTCTACTTGACTCCTTTTTGCCATCACGTTTTTAGTCTCTAGTTTTATGTCTCCCAGGATCTTGTTCTGTGTATTGTACTTTGTTTTCACCTTATTACTAAATTTGTCTCATTTGATTTCTTTTCTTCTTTTATTATGCTTGCTGAATTCTTCAAGAAAAATGATTAATTTAAAATTTTCTGGACCCATGAATGTTGTGTGCACTGGGTACTTTGAGAATTTTGTGTATATCTAGGTTGACTTGTCCTTGGTTCAGTGAAGCAGCAGGCATCCTGGATGAATTGAAATTGGTGTGGGCTTCTGGAGCCACTAGTGTTGTTAACTTGGTAGAAGCTAGAATCAACTGGGATATGCCTCTGGGAATTATACTCGCCAAAGTGGAAAGATCTGCCCACTGTGGGTGGGA